TTCAACCTTGTCCTAAAACACAAGACCCATGTATTAATTTACGACCATTATGGGATGCCCAGGCAATTGATACATGGATAAGGACGCAAGAAGCATCAACGAAGAAAATCCCCACAAGATTATTGGGAGATTAATGTTGTTATTAATCATTTTGTGTAATCAGTATAATGTGTTTAATATTACGGTATGAAAAAACAATTTTTTTTTAAAAAAAGTTACAAATAGTAGGTTTTCTCAAATCGCTCTTACAGAGGTTTAAACAAAGAAAATCAAATGATTTTTTTAAGTTTGGATGGCCTAAAAGCAGCTCAAGCCGGACGGCACCATAAATGTCCAACGGGTTAGTTACTTGTGGTGGCGTTGGTAAAAAAAGCAAGCACATAATATATATACAGGGTGGGTGGGTGGTTGTCTGTCATGACAAATCACAGACTTCAATGTGCTGTGTTTTGCTCTCTGTTTTGATGAACAAAGCTCAATTTGTTAAAATGGAAAGTGACAAAATATGATGATATAATTAAGTTTTCTTAGAATAGAAGTTTTCCTTCCTCAAGATTGCCTTCTCAGCCGGTCGTAATCACCACATTTTGATGATAATGTTAACGACCTCTTCCTTTTCATACTCTTGTCTAGGTGGGTCCCGTGTATTTTACATTTCAAACATAATTTAAAAAAAAATTGAATTTTTTTTTTATTAATATAAAATTAATATATTTTTAATGTTTTTAATATAAAATTAATATGTTTTTAATGTTTTTAAATATATTAATATCAAAAATAATTTTTAAAAAATAAAAAAATTATTAATACTAATTTTAATATAAAAAAATATTTAAAAAAATAACAATAACCATACTTCTAAATAAATTTTAAGTGTTGATAACACTTCCGTCTACATTCACAAAATAATTCTTTTACCTTCTCCTTCTTCTTCCTTTTAAGAAAGGAGGGTAATTATTAACATCAATCAATTTCATAGGATTATAACACCACTAATATTTTATATTTTACAGGTCTTATTCAAATCCTATTAACCCAATTTTATTTTAAAAATTATTATTAAAAAAATTAAAATTATATATTTATTTAATTAATCCCTCAACTTGTAATCCCAAATTTCAAACGTGGAGAGTTTTATAATTAAGGGGTTGTTTGTAAATATGATCCAATCCATATTTCTAAAAATTTTAAAAAATTACTAAAAATTAATATTTTCATGTTTTTAAATCATTTTAATGTATTAATTTTAAAAATAAATTCTAAAAGTAAAAAAAATATTTTTTAATATTTTTTAAATAAAAAATATTTTAAACCATAATTGTAATTACAATCTCTAACAGGTCCGGAAAGGTGTTTTTTTGAGCTAGTAAATTAATATGGATTTTGTTCTCTTTCATAAATTATGTTAAACAATGATCAATAAATTAGAAATGACATAATTATGGTATTTTAGTTTTCCTAGGAGCACAAGCGCAATTCCATCCCATTATTAGATTGTGCTGTAATATTATCCACAAATTGGTTTTCATTAACTAAATCTTAAAGAAAAGAATTTGCAGAGCTTGATTAATTATGATAAAAGCAAATATACATAATTAATATGAGGATAAAAAGCTGTAGTTAGAGAGTTTTTCTTTAAATAAATAATTACACCCTTCAAAAAAAAAAAACTTGTTTCGTTATGGGTATTTTATCTTATATTGTATATACTATAATTAAAAGTAATAAAAATATGTTCACCTAAATACAAAAACATGTTTTTATAAGATCTGAAAGGAGAATATTGGAGAGATAAAAAGAGAGGAATTTAATTGTGTCAAAATAATTAGGAGTGGATAATTAAGATTAAGGTATAGATGAATCCAGTACGTACGTACCTTGTCCCAAATAATCGGTCATGGTATTTTGAGAATCTGTGACCGAATTTGCAGTCACAATTATTGGTCCAAAAAATAAAAATGAATTTGGATTACACCGAACTAATTAATATGCGTAAAATATTTTTTTATATATAATTAATGATATAATCATTATCATCTTGAAATGAAAAATACTATATCGTACAGTTCATATATGAGGTGATAAAGTACCACCTGGTAATACATATATTGTGATGGCGTGCTTAAAATCTGGTGGGCTCGGTGATTATGATCCTGAGTCCTGACCGAGGTACGTGGGAGGTTAGGGTCAGCAGATAATTTCTGGTGTGGGATACTGCCACTGGAAGACGTACGGTTGCCCATAGAGACCTTAAGCTTGAGAATTTGTGCATATATGATATCTGGTCTTCTAAAAACGGATCGTGTTAATTATATATATGCACGTACCTCTTTAATAATTAAAGATTGAACTGGATTTTCCAGGCTAAGTTGTATCGATCTTGTGTTTCCAATGGCTGTAGAAGAGCTAGCACAGTTGCAGCGGGAGATTTATGCAGGAATGCAGCTTCAATCCAGCTGCTCATGCATTCAAGTCAATCAGTAATCTTGTGTGGGATAGGAAGAATAGCGGGCTCGGATCTTAATTTTCTTGTGCATGTGAAGAGGATTGACATGGGAAGAATTCATTGATCGTGTGTGGTAGCGGTGTGTGTAACTTTGAGTGTTCATCTACTTCCTTGGTTTTACGTTACTGGGAGCCATTGCTGTGCTGTTTAAGGATATATATGATCCAACATATATCAACAACCACTGCTGGTTATCTTTTGCTTGTGGCACATCTGTGGGCGACTGCTGTAAAGTGGCGGGATGTTGCTAGCTAACTACGTACAGTGAGACAGAAGATGATTTGATAAGGGTGTGAAAATTACGCCTGCTGGCCGAATATCAAAATCACCAAGTTGTTTCTTTCTCTTTATGCATGTTTCGTTATCATCTCGAGATAAAATATATATATATATATATATATTTTTTTAAAATTTTTTTTTTTTGGACAAGTTCAGCAGTACGTACTAGTTCAATCTCCCTTTGAATAATCTCTTTGTTTACCTTTCTTTAAGCTCAAGTTTTTTAAAAAAAAAATATTTTAGACAAGTTCAGCAGTACGTACTAGTTCAACAACTTCACAAATTTTCCGACCCTTTTTAGGTTCTCAAGCCTAACAGCACCTGCATTTTCTCCTCTTCTCAACTCCTATATATTGTCCTCCCACAATCCTGTTTGTACCATCCTGTAATTCTTTATCACTGATTTTTTATTCTCTTTAAAACTTTAATTAATTTGTGAATTTCTAAAAACCAATAAAATTACAGATATAATTTTTTCATCAGTAATTTTTACCGACTGATATAATTTTGTTTCTAATTCTATCAATATATACCGGCATAACATATCCATTAGTGATATAGTTAGTATATACCGATGAAATTTTTCTGTCAATAAATACCGACCATATCACTGACAAATTATATAGTTTTTTTAGAAAGTTGCAATGATGTGATAACATGGATTTTTTTCATATGAGTTTATCAACGAATTCAAACTAGGATCTCCATACAGTGAGGTTGCACATTCACTAGTGGAATCACCAACGGGTATATTGACAGAACGAGTCCATCAGTGATTCCATCGGTAAAAGCCAATATATACTCACCTTGTCTACACTCCCTCTATTTCTTCTTTTTCTTTCTCATCCCTCCTCTCCCCTCCCTAATTGCAGCCAACAACCCATCCCAGCTCTTCCCCTCCTCTTAACACAAGCACTCAAGTTTCTTATACTTTTGTACGTAATCATAACAATATCTGTTCTTGTAGATATTATCATTTTTTGTAAGTAAATATATCCTTTTTAGTTTAAATATTTAAATGTGAATTTTTTTTAGTATATGTTTTTTGTTAACATATCTACTTGTTTGATTGTTATTTGTCAAAGAAACTTGTAATATGCATATATAATTTTGTAGTTGTTATAATTTATTTTAGATTTTATCAAATTATATTTATTTGTAAATTGTTGAAACTTTGTTTGAATTACAATGAATTAGATGTGTTATGATGAAATAAATAATAGCTTCTTTAACAGGTCCATTTTAATTTTTATCAATTATATTGCAAAGTTGTGATTTTCATAAATTTATACGGACGTTGATAGTTCGTAATTGATAATTAATGAATATTTAACATAAGTGTTTTTTTTGTTTGTTGGATAATGTCGGGGCAAACCAATATTTTTGTTATGTTTATCTATGTAACATAGTTAATTAATACATGTTGTCATCATAATTTTATAGAGGTTTGATAGAAGTCATGAATGTATCGGGATTCACCCCAAGGATTGCGAAGGATGGATGTATCGTTTCTATAAATATATTTAACTTGTAACCTTTTTTTTCCTTACAGGCTGTGTCTCTTGGACATGAGCCGAGTCCAATGAAGCTATTTGTAAAGACGCACATGGGGAGTCAGAATTGCCAAAAAAAGGTGCAATGTAGTATGTGGACAACCATGCTCGACACTTTGTAGTATGTTCGTTCCATCATTTATTTCATAAGTTATTATTTTCTTGAATTAAATATGATGATTTAAAAAAAAATCAAGAGACTTATAATAGCGGGTTGAGGGAAAGATATGGAGACGATCCTTTGAACCATCCGAATTTCGATTCGGATTTGTGAATGGAGATCGAATCTTTTGATGGACCTGATAGAAACACAGATTACACCACATATCCAATAGGATTTTAGTGTTTGAGATAGAGGTAGGTACGGTTGGTCTTCTAGTTATAAATCTTTTGAAACATAAACTGCACCTCACTAAAAAAAAAAACATATTTTTATTATTTTTTCTGTAAATTCCACCAAAAAAAACTCAAACACGCCTAACATCGCAACCATCCGAATTTCAATCCGGATTTGTGAATGGAGGTCGAATCTTTTGGTGGACCTAATAGAAACGCAGATTACACCACGTATGCAAACAGGATTTCAGTGTTTGAGATAGAGGTAGGTACGGTTGGTCTTCTAGTTATAAACCTTTTGAGACATAAACTACACCTCACTAAAAAAAAAAAACATATTTTTATTATTTTTTTCTGTAAATTCCACCAAAAAAAAACTCAAACACGCCTAACATCGCAGTTCTATCTGAATAACACCCTAATTACTCATCAAAGGTGTGCTAACATGATACGAGGGTGGCCTAATCTAATTTCTAGATCAGTTCAATTCCTTGCATTTTTGCAATGTAGAACACACTAAAGGGTACTCTAAGTTGCCCATTCTCAGAGCATTTATGACCTATTCTTGAGTTTTTAGTGTCAAGTCTGGATATGGTGCAGGATGCACAAGATTAACCAAATTGTTGCAGACCACAGCTTATACCTTCGAAAGAGTAGCCACCTTTATTATGCTGTTGAGACTCCAACAACACCTGATGCTTTCGAGATCTTTGGAGCTCAGTTTCCTTCACAGTTCAAAGGGCATATCTTAATTAGAGCCATCACTTGTTAATTGTAAATGCTTGCTTGTCTTACAGGTTCTCCCTGGCTGATTCATTCAAGAGCTTTCTTGGAGTATTGTGTCCAAGTATGGGACAACCTTCCAAGAAAAATACCAATGTACCTGAGCGATACAGCATCCCCACTTGAATCCTATTCCCGCTCTGTCCTATGCAACTCTCCTGAGTTCAAAAATACTACAGTAAACAACGCTTTAAGGTGCAATACTTTGGAAAGTTGTACGGATGACGAGTCACTCTATGACAAGATGCTAAATAATGGTGCAGCATTTGCAAGGCCATTTAAAGAAGATGCCGTTGCACTAGACATGATTGATGAGAACGTCTTAAACCGTGAATTCCTAATGGAATGGTGCCTGGAAAATGGTGCTTGGACCAGGACAGAGGCTTCAAAGCCTACAGGGGAGGTTTTGTGTTCAGATTGGGGTAACATTGATGCTGTCAAGCCGGCTGGGTCTTATGGCATCAAGTTAGGATTCTTATTGTCTGGGATTGCCAGTGAAGAGAAATTGATGAGGACTAGTCATAGGAACCAAGCAGGCTGGCAGGCATGCATGTGTAGATAATCTGTTTTTCAAACGAAAAATATAGGTTAAATCAAGCTTCGTAGCCATATGAGTCCTTTGCTAATTGCACTCCAGATGCTTATATGTATATACTGCCCATGCATATATATTACGGCCAAGAGCACAGGAGTTCCCCTCCATGATAGCAACTTGGCATAGAGGCCCCTTTCGGGCTTTCAATCTCTTTTGCTTTATATTTTGAAAAATTTCTTACAAAGCATTGTTTCTATTCTTCTATTTCATTTTTCAAATTTGGGAACTCAATATCATGCATCATGATGATTTCATTCCACTTGCACACATGTCATAAACATGATTAGAATAAAACAATATTAAACTTGGATTAGGTTAGATGGTTAATCTTAGTTGATCTATATCAATAGAGAGCAGTGTTTTTCAAGAATTTTTTAAAAAAAAAAGTTAAAAAATCAAACATATTTTAATAGGGTTATCTAAGTTGAATTGTATTAACTATCTAATTTAATTTGAAACTGTACCAGAATAAATACTAGATCAACAAGTAATACAATAAATCCATATAACCGAACCGGGTCCGACAACACCCGTTAAGATAAGGATGCTAACCAAGCTCTGGTTATCATGTTTGCGTTTCAGTACAACGAAGCAATTATGAATATAGGATGGTGGCCGCTAGAGAAGGGGAGCTTGTGATTAAGATAAGCTAGGGGCCCCGGTGATCATCAACGAGAATCAAATATCCTAGTGCTGGATGGAGCATCAGAGCAGCACTCCTCTCTTACGCTCCCTCCATCGGATTCTTGCATTCTTTAAACTAACCACATCCACATTCCACAACCACCTTTCCCTCACCGAACGACCCCACCTCCTCTCAATATCCCAACCCATAATCCATCCATCTTCAAGCCTTTCCCTGTTGTGATCATCAATCCTTTCTCTTGAATCTGTGCGTATGTCATATAATTTGTCAGCCCGTTCTTTTTTCTATGGATCTAGTCACACTTACTAAATCTTATCGGGCTTGGACCTGACCGGCTCATTTTTCACAAGGTAGAGTTGATCAAATTAATTCACTCGGCAAATTAACATTATTTTTTTAAAAAATAAAAACAACTTTATTTAATTTTTGAAAAAAAATTACTAGAAATATGAGGTGGTGTTATTTTTTATTACCTCGCGACGAAGAATCCACCATGATGTGTAAATGTTATCGATCAAATTTAGCAAAATCTTTGTAATTTCTCAAGAAGAGAGAGGGTATGAAAATACATTGATCTTGGTGGGGGTAAAGGGCATAGAGCTGATTTAATATCGAAAGCCGAGTGTGGCCAGAATAAATTTAAATCATAGACAAAGCATGAGATTTTTAAATTTTTTAAAATATTCAGCATTGCAAAGTCAATATTTAATTCGACTGGTAAAGTTGGTGCTGGTGGCGGGAGGTCGAGATCGAATGGGAACCACCCATGTTATAATGGTACGTATGGATATTATTTTGTTGAATCTTGGCCTCAAACACGATATTTACACGAGAATATTGTTATAAAAATGGACTAAAAAGCTTTCGCGACGCCATCATTAGCGAGCCAGGAGGGAGGTTGCTGGACCACCGCCATAAAAAACTACTGCATTTTGCTGAAAACACTGCTTTGAAGGAGATTAATTTAAATTAAAGAAATTAAGGGTCAATCATGAAATTAAGGCACACCACCAAGAACATCTGGCTGAGAGATCCAGGATAGTTATTTTTATTTATTTATTTATTTTTTATTATTGTTAACAGCGGATAGAGCCCGCCCATCACGAGTGCATCGTCGCGTGCTTAACATCTTCATGAGCCGGCGACGAAGTGTTTGTGATGCAATTAATAAAGTAATCTCCGTATTTTTTTATTAATGTATTTGGGCAAGAATATCTCTATATTTTCAAGAACATGAAATATATTCCATTTATCTTTCCCGTCTCCGTATTTTTCTATCGAGAAACAGAGACTGTAGCAAAATGCCAGCACATATAAACTGAAAACAATTCGTTTTTCTTATCTCAACATCTCTTTTGATTTCTGAGACAATTTTCTTAATGTACGTACGTTCATCTTATGTCGTTAACACATATAAACTACTACAAAAACTTTGAAATTTCCTAATCTCCACGCGCGCGCGCGTGAACTTCTTCCACATGATACTCCGCAGCCTGCCAGCACGTACGGCTCCGTCACACAGAGCACTCCGCCCACCCTTCTTCCATTTCCTTCTGCAGCTGCAGTCTCTTGCTTCGCAACGCCTGTTCTATCTTCATTTCAACGGTAACGATCAGCTTACTGGGAACGCCAGATACCTCCTCTAATCTCCTCAGATTCTCCCACGTCGTAGCCGACTTGTCCCCGCATAACCTGAGCCCGAACCAAAACGACGCCGCCAAGCTCACTCTGAACGGCAAAGCCAATCTCCCAAAACACAGCGCCATCGCCCGAGTGGCTCTCTGTACCACCAAATTACAATTGAGCCCCAGCCTTTTGCACCAATTCACGAAAACACCCTCTGACCTCAGATTCCTCGACCTCTTCAACCTATCCCTCAGGGATCTACCCGGAATATTCTTCACCGAGCTGGAAGATGACGTCGTTTTGACTCCTTTTCTTGTGTTCTCAAAGCGCGTCGTTTCGGTGCTTGAAATGCAAGCAGAGGATAGAGTACTAGAGGAGGAGCAGGAGATGGAGTCCAGTTCTTTGTTTCCTGGCGAGCAAGAGAAACAGGCGACACGGCTAAGAGATGGGGCGTCGCCGGAGAATGGATTTCCTGTGAGGGAACCGCAACCGGAGCATATTACACGGCGAATATGGCGAGCAACAAGGAAGTTAGCATTATGGACGTTAGAATCACAGTCAAAGCAAAGAAACGCAGCATCCGAATCGCAGTAGACACCAGCTTCTCTTTTGCAAAGCTCGCAAACTTTAACAGCCATTAATTCGTTATGATCACCAGCTTTCACGCTTTGATCAACGTCAGAGCAACAAAATATTACAAATCAAGAAAGCTTGAGCGATGTTGTGAAAGTCTCTTTAAAGACTTGAAGAGATAAAAAAGGAGAGAGGGAGAGGGAGAGGCGGCAGTGAAGAAGGTGGTTGGTGGTAATTTAAAGAGAGGTGGTGGGGGTGGGGGCTGAAAGATATAGGCTAAAGAAGGGCGGTGACGGGATGGGTGGTGGGATGTTGTGCGTGTAGAAATGAAGGAGAGGAGAAAGTGAGTGTAGAGGTGGCTGGCTATATATGGTGGTGGTGGTGGTGTCATGTTACTGCTGCGTTTCTTTCACTTTTGTCCACATGTTAGAGAACCTCGTTTCCCTCGAAGCATGTTGATCACAATCTTTTGTTTATATTTCTTTGCATTTTCGTCCCTTATTCTTTGTCTAATTATATTAATATCTCTTAAAACCCATTTGGTATTTGTCAAGGGCACCGCGCAGAGAAGTTTTTAATGTCGAAGTCGCCTCAATTATGCGAAGATACGAAAGTCAAGGTGGGAGTTGATTTTTCAACGAGAACACTGTTGTATTGATGGAGAATTACCAGTTGCATTTTATATCGATTTTATCATTAACTTATTTTTCAATTAAAAACTATTGCCATAATACTTGATTAGAAAAAATTTAAAAAAATACGTTAATTTTCTCGTGGATGACGTGCTTCTTCTATACATGTCTTGTGATTGCCAAGAGATAGCTGGGGGTGGATGAGAAGGCATCATTAGGGTTTGAATAGAAAACATGATGAATTACGTAAAGCAAAGGACTGGAGATCATGGGCAAACCAAGAGTACACGAATCAGTGTGCCACCTGAGAATAAATTAGCCAAAAACGCAAGGGCATCAGCATAAATGACAGGGACTGGTCGCCTTTTTTTTTAAAAAAAAAAAAAAAATATATGTGTGGTCGAGTCTTCAAAAATATCGGCTGCTCTCAACAACCGTCGAATGGCGTTGGGGATTATTTAATTAATTTCTTATTTCTGAGTCACACATCCACAATTCTTCTCAGCCAAGACTTCGAAAACCGACTGTGGGAACCAACACGTGTCGAAATATAAAGACGTCTTCGTCACTCGATTCGACCCCTCTTTTTTCATGTGTCCTGTAACATGACAACACCTTCTTCATCTCGTTCTCCCTTGTAAACTTGTACTCTTGGTCCTCCTTTGCCCCTTTTCCATCCGCCACGCATCGCCAGTTTGTACCATACATGATTTATTATTCTACCAAAAATGTGGCCATTAGGAGGCAGCTCAAGATCATGTGGTGGCTTCCTCCCTCTCTCGTGCTGTTAATTTTCCAAGCTGGGAATTCAAGATGGAACGTCACATTTGGCTAAGTGGCACAACCCACGCCGATGATATAGCAATGTGGTTCTGTTCTCAGCCACACAAATGGCTCCACAGGAGAGATATGCCATCCCCACAACACAAAACTCTTGAGAAAAATAACGATCGTCCACCTGGCAAGAATACATGAGGTTAGGAGTGGAGGGTGATAGGGTGACACGCACTACTGCCACCAACGGTGGTTGTGCTGCTTCATCATTATCACAAGCCACATGAGTAGCGTGATTGGAATGATTTTGTATGGGACCCAGTTGATGACAGCAGCTGTTTTTGTGTGTTTTTTCTTTCAATCACGGCTGGATACCAGGCATGGATGATTAATGATTGATGGGGAAGGGGCAATGGGAGCCACACGATCCCTTTCATGGCTGTTTCTTGCTTGCAGAACAGAAGATCATGCCATAACGGATCTTACGAGATTTTGATATTTTGCTCGGTGTGGCTTTGCTACAATGGTGCTCGTGAACCCGTCCAGCAGAACGAGCGTCTATCTCATTCCAATTGATTTGAGATTTGTGTTCCCATGCCTCGAGAGAAGAATGTAGTTATTAACCCTCCCTCGTCCCGTTCAATATCAGTACATAAAGATTCAAATAAAAACAAACAATTCTGGATTTTTTTTTCAGATTATATTGAGTTCTTCTTTGGGTTCACACAAATCAACGAGGTAGGCTGCTTATTTGACCTGCTGGGCCTGGCTCATAGAATAGAATAAGACATGTAAATCTAGGAAAGAAAAGGTCTTAACAGTTTTAATTTTTTATTTGGCTTAAGACCTCGCCGCACTGTCCTAAAATTTAATAACCAGAATGTAATTTGATGTTTGTGTCATGATTAGAGATACTTTGATGTTGTGTTAGTTCTTGTTTTTTTTATCTAATTATAAAAAATAAAAATAATAAAATTTGCGTAGTCAAATAATTTCTTCTTTTTTATATATTTAGCTTTTTTCAATTTCAAATATTTTATAAAAGTTAAAATAATATCTTTTTGTAAGATATATTCTTGATGCAAGAATATATCCTGTCGTAACCGTATTCTTTCTTAAACCGCGAGCCCTAGCATCATTGCTGCAAGTTATAATGAAAGTGGAACGCTGCTATCCTTATCCTCAACCTCTCGTATTTCTATACATCAAATGTCTCGATCGGATGTTGCCTTACAGGGGCCATTAAATCAAGTCTGGTTATTTTTTCTTCTCTTGATTGCGGGATAGGGTTAAGTTCGACTGTTAGATTTATATTGGCAGGCAGAGAGAGGACAAGGGTCTGCAATCGATGAATGTAGAAGCACTGAAAAATTAAGCTAAATATCGATAAATTAACAAGAAATTGGTCGAGAAGGTTTCTAAATCAGTACCGTACCTTTCTGGCTTTCACGCAACCATATTATCACGATGAAAGACAGTTTCGGATTAGCTTTCTCCAAATCAAAGAAGCGTATTTATTCAAGCTATGATCATGAAAAGGTGTCTTTTAATAATTAAAAGCCGGTTTAGAAACTCCACCGCCGCAGCGCTTTACACGAGCGCGGTTGCGGGCACTGATATATAGCCTCGGCACTGTTTGATCATTCACTCGTTAAAGGACAAGAAGGTTCCAGTCGCATCATGAGTGCTGCATGGCAAAAGAAGAATTCAATAAATGTTAATGAATCTGCAGATCCAGTAAAATGGTTCAAGGAATAGACAGGAGTACTGGGCAAATGGCTCACCCAGCATCTTCGCCCCCGGTACCAGTTCTTGCAGAGTTTCCATTGATCTCCTGCTCTTCTGTCAACTGTCCACTAAAAACCTCCAGTAATCAAACATGAGCAAAACGAACAACTAACCCATGCTAGCTGTAAAGGGTTCGGGTTAAAGAAGATAGATGCCCATTGAAAGTAGAGTACTGTAACGGTTATGATTTCTTGTGGAAGCATTCTGTACCTGTGACGAAGTCTAATAACCAAAAATGCAACTCGCACATGGGCCATCATTTTTCAATTTAGCTCCGCTCTCTTGATTTACTGAACCCATCAACTCCAATACCCTATCGTTAATTACAAGAATAGCATGTATGCTGTGGTCAGATATTTTTATTTTTTATAATATATATATATATATAGATTTTTTAAGATATTTCTGTAATTTAAAAAATATATTCATGCATGCAATAAAGTAAACGGAGAACTATGCAAATAAATAAATATCAATAATACTTAAAAAAAAGTTAAAAAAGTTAAAAAATTTAAAAATATACATTTGATTGTATTTATTAAATTTATTTGTTATAATAATGTTTTTATTTAAGCAAAATTTAATAGAAATAGAGTAATATATTAAATTCATCGAATAAAAAAAAAAGAAAAAATTATATAAGACTTTACATGTTATAAATATTATCTAATTTTTTATCACTTTTAAGAATAAATTTCATCCATATAAAAAAATAAATTAATTAATTTAAAAACAATTCAAATCTAAATGAAAACTGAAAAAATTATTATTATTTAAAAAATATTTTCTAAACAAAATAAAAAAGAGAAAAAATAGTCATTTAAATATAAATTAAAAAGTTTGAGGGTCTAATTAAAAAAAATAAGATTTTGCATAGTATAATAATGTGTGAAATTATAAATAATAAAACTTTGAACAGTGAAAAACTTATAATACTTAATCCTCTATTATCTGAATCACAAATTAACTAAAATTAATATTTTTTTAATAATGAAAATTCTCTATTATCTGAATCACAAATTAACTATGTTGATTTAAAATTAATATTTTTTTAATAATGAAAATAATATTATTTAAAAAAATAAAAAATAAAATAAAGTTAGATATCACTTAGATCTTGAACGTATTGACCAAGAGTACACAGCGAAAACAACCCTCACTTGACTTGGTACAAAATCTTACGAGGGCTAGGTCGTAAATTTATTTTAAAAATTCACTAAATTGATTCGCGCGTGCCGGCCTGGTGTCAGAAGAGATGGTGGGAAGCACTTGCAATAAATGCAGCATCTGAAGAATTCACGAGCCCTGTTTAACACATATGATCTTCTTCTACGACAGCAAGTTCACTGGTGAAATCGTTGACTAGGCTTCTATTTTATTTCTTTCGTTTGACGTGCTGGTTCTGGTAGATTGTACATTCTCCATCTCTTTCTCCGGGATGTATTCTATTTGATTCCATAAGAAATTAACAAGTAGCTGAGATTTATTATTTGTGTACCAATTATTTAAATCTGTGAAAGAAATATCACTGTTTGCAATTTATTTGACCTTGCTTCGCTTATTTTTCTGATTTGTAGAGCAGAAAAATCATATTATTTATCTGGCAAAAATCACTCCATACCATAGATGTGCAAACATTTTGTCTTGGGCTTCAACTTCCTTATGCATTTCCATGCACTAAATTACGTGAGGACAGCCATTGATTAGAAGCAACACCAGGGCTCTAGCCCACTAATCCATGCCTAAATACAGCCCAATTGTCCAATTGTTCTTCTTCTTTCATGCAAGAATGAATATATATATATATATATATATATATATATATATATATACATACATATACATACATGTACAGATATTTATACCTGGGCTTTCGAATTCACCATCCTAGATCGATGAACAAGCCCATGAGAATTAGCAACTGCCAGGCGTCCGATGAAACGTTGTAAAACATTAACCGAACTGACAGATCTATCAGGAATACAAGTAACTTGATGTCTATATCTGTTCGGGTTGAAAGGAAAAAAAAATTGACTGGATTGACCAAAGATCCAGTTGACTTGCTGACTTTAATTTGAGAGGTTGACCAAGTCCATTCTCTTAATTGGTGACCGGGTCTTACCCTTTTCTTACCCGGAATTGGTTTTTATGATTATGTTATGCCATCATGGTAAGTGTAACTATAAAGTATGCAGCGGCGGCCATCATTTTTTATTTTATTTTAATTTTTTAGAAATTCAAGAAATTATAATTTAGAACCAAGAAGACGTTATTTATTTACATCAAGCATATAAATTCCCTAAAATTTTCAAAAGGGCCCAACCTGTGCTGTTTAGCTGACTCACTGTGCACGGTCAGTGAGGCGCTGCGAGATGGACACTCCGCCAATAACTCCCACCAAGCGCTCCCATACCGAACCCACACAAATCCGGATCCTCTGCCCGTCATTAAAAACCGGCGCCGTCATCGGCAAAGGGGGCTCCACCGTCCGTCATATCCAATCTCTCACCGGCGCCAAAATACGCCTCCTTGACGACCCTCACATTCCCTATTGTGAAGACCGCATAATCCTCATTACCCTGAACAGTGGCAAAGTCCCCAAATCAGACGACTCCAACACCGCCACCTCCGATCACAACAAAGAAGATGCCAATGACGGAGAGTGCAGTTCTGGTGGTGGTGGTGGTGGTGGTGAAGAGGAGGGGTGGGGTCCAGTGAAGAAAGCCGTGGTTAGGGTTTTTGAGAAGATAGTGAAAGGGGATAGTGAGGAGGAGTTGAGCGAAGCTGTTGTGGTGACGTGTAAGGTTCTGATTGGTAGTGGTGGTAGTAATCAGGGAGGGAGTTTCTCAAAGGTTTTGGAGAAAATTAGAGTGGAGAGTGGAGCACAAGTTAGGGTTTCGAATCGCGAGCAAATTCCTGCTTGTGCTTCTCCTGGTGATGAATTGCTTCTGGTAAGTAATTTTGAGTTTGAATAAAGTTTTGGTATTGCAACAATTGATATGTAATTTACTGGTAAAGTTTTGCGCGTTATATATTAATTTGCTGTGGTTCCGTTAATGTCTTCCTTTATGAGGTCAACAATGTTAAATTCTTGCAATGATAGTTTGATAATCAATCAATGAATGATTTAAGGCATTAGAATCAAGTTTGGAATTACTTGGTGATTCTTTTAGTGCCATCCATAAATGTCATGCTTTATGAGTTTAACAAAGTATATATCATGCAGTAATTGTTTGGTAATCAACCATTATCATTCTATACATGGGATTTGTTGTTAGTTTCTGTGACTTGCAGCACTTTAATTCAAGATACTGTAGTTGTGTATACTATTTCTGAGTGTAGTTCTGCTCTGCAGATTACTGGAAGTTTTTCAGCCGTTAAGAAAGCACTCTTGTCTGTTTCGAGTTTTATTCAAGATAGCCCGAGAGCAGAAACTGCCAATTTTGGTGCAGCGGGATTCCATGGAAATGCTATGCCTGCGCAAGGTGACTTGCATCAGTGGGGTTATGGACCTGGTAATCATGCTGCAGACTATCATCCAAGAGGGTATTCTCCTAATTTTGAAGAGGACGTTGTATTTAGGCTGTTATGCCAGGCTGATAAGGTTGGCAGTTTGATAGGGAAAGGTGGCTCTGTAGTACGGGCTTTGCAAAATGAGACGGGTGCATCTATCAAAATTGCTGAAGGTGTATCTGATTCAGATGAACGTGTGGTTGTCATATCTGCAAGAGAGGCATGGGGATTTTACTGTCTTGACCTGTACTATTTGATTAGTTTGGAGAGCATAACTGTTCTTGCATATTGGTCATTAGGACTTGGACCTTTCTTCAACTCAAACAATGATATCATATTATGACTTTTACTATCATGACCTCTGAATGAATGGTGTTTCGTAGCAGAATATCTTGGATAAATGCAGTGTTATGATCAACCTGATATCAAACTCTTCATCTCCCTTAGGAATTCAGTGTTCCTTTATAGTTAAGGATAGTCTTCTAAGTCTTATCATATAGATATTCCATCGCTTTTGCTGGGTGGGTCGCATATCATGTGGAAGTGGGTAGGGCCATTGTACCTTTGGCATTTGGGTGTTTTGTTAGCATAAGAACCTTATGTAGATTTGTGGGATGTGCCAATTCTCTGGTTTCCTAACGATTTTAGTGGTTTGACCGCTTTCAGAATTCAGAACAAAGACATTCTCCTGCTCAGGATGCTGTTATTCGTGTGCAATCCAGAATTGCAGAGATTGGATTTGAGCGTGGTGCCAGAATTGTTGCCCGGCTTCTTGTGCATCCACAACAGATAGGTGTTTTGTTGGGTAAAGGAGGCAAGATCATAAATGAAATGAGACATGTTACTGGTGCTAGTATATGCATATTTCCAAAGGAGCAAGCTTCAAAGTATGGTTCTCAAACTGAAGAAGTAGTTCAGGTAATTAGCATGCCTTATTATCTTCTCCCTCTTTTCTCTCAGAATAAAATCTTCCTCCTTTTATTAAATAAACCTACAATGCTCCATGTACCCTGATTGAACCTAGGCCTTGCCCTTGAAACAAGTGGTTTTGCGCCAGTTAGGCTACTGTAATCTTGTATAGCTTGTTCCCTGTTAACAAAAATGTTCCTTTTAATTTTTAGCTGTTTCTGAATTGATAACATAAATTTCTACCATTCAGAACTAATTCTAAATTCTTTTAGATAGATGGTTGTTCAAGGGAATAAAGTCCACACTAGCTTAAGGAATGCCTAAAATAGCATGCCTCTATCTTGCAAGTTTGCAACTGATATTGAAATCATACCAGTTGAAGGGATTGGCTGTTAGCCTTGACTTCTCGTTTTGATGGTATATTAAAATCAGTCTCTTTATGATTCTGATATGACACGGTCCTATGTTATCAATTTTACCTTATATCCTTCTATGTATTGTTTCTACACGAGTCTGTTTCAGAATTCTGAAGAGTTGCTTTTTTGCAGGTTCTTGGCAGCTTGCAAGCTGTACGGGATGCTTTATTTCAAATAACAAGCAGACTTCGGGACACTATATTTCCAGTGAAGCCACCATTCTCAAACACTGCTCCGTTGCCCTATCCACCACCCCCATTTCCAGAAATGCACCCCCCTCAGTTTAGGCCAAGACCTAATCCTACCTCTCCAGGTCCTTACCCTTCTCCTGTTGGACCTTTCCAAGGCATGGATCGTTCTGCTATTCCCTCCCACCCCTTAGATCACCAGCCTCCATTTTCATATGGTATGGATCGCAGTGGTCCACCAAATTTGGACCGAGCTCCTTATTCATATGGTAGTGATAGACCAGGACATGGTCCTCCATTTGAAAGTTCTCCAAGATCATGGACCACTCAGGTTGGTGGCTTCTGCTTCCAAATAGCCTGATGTTTGACTTGAACTTCATTTATTGATCTGTAGTGGATTCAAACTCTATTGTTATTCTCTTTGGTTTTCATTTTCCTTTCCCTCCCAGCCATTTAGCAATGGGAACCTTAGGGGAGGTGCTGATCTAGGTTCTGGCTCGGTTGCAAGAAATGGGCATCCCTCAAGGTACTGCTTTTATGCTGTTGATTTGAATAACTTCCGCATATTGAGCTTAACTGCTTAATGCTTGGGCTGCTGAATACAGTGAGGTGAAGCAGCCAAGTGGCACAAACACTTGTAGAGCCTTGTGATTAAAAGTCATTAAAAAACATGGCTAGGGAGGAAGCATTTTTCTGACTCATGTGATTATCTGCAAATTCATAAAGTTGCCATATGTTTTTGCATTGTGTAAGTTGACATTTGACAAGCAAAGTAGAGGCAAGAAAAATTATCTGTATTGTTATAACGGAGCCATTAATCATTTTCTTCTTTTCTATTTTTAGCAGTGGAAGTCTAGCACCGAGCATGGCTAGCACATCTGTTGAGGTTCTCATTCCTCAAAAACTGCTGACTCATGTATATGGAGAGAGTAATAGTAATTTGACTCAGATCAGACAGGTGGGCTTATATATTGGTTTGGTGCTACTAATTTTTAACATCAATACAATGATCTGCTAGCATTTTCTAATGTTGGACTTGGCAATTTTCTTTCAGATTTCAGGTGCAAATGTTCTCATTCACGACCCAAAGCCCGGGGCAACCGAAGGTGTGGTGGTAGTGTCTGGAACATCAGATCAAATGCGTGCTGCACAGAGCCTAATCCATGCCTTTATTCTTTATGGACAGACAACTCATTGACCATCTACTTAGGCAAGTGGTGATTTGTATAAAACTAGGCAAGAGATGTGCATTTGATTTTCGAGAAAAACAGTATGTATATACCATGCTTTAGTTGTACTCTTCCTTTATTTAAGCTTAGGATTCTGTACCATTGCGGGGTTTTGGTGTCCTACCTTGACATGATCACAGCAACTCATTCCTCAGTGCAAATAAAATCGAGTTTGTACTAGTTTTTTATGCGCGGCTTGGCTTCTTTTTTTCCTTCTACATAGATTAGCTCGCTTGCTTCCACTCCTTGTTGCGAACTAGACTGGAACTTCGGTCGTATACATTTTTTTCTGGATCGGATGTTAAAGAAAATGCCAAGAGCACATGATTCAAACCTCTCTTTTAGGCACTGTTTGGCAATGTATTGCACCGTAGCAAAAGCATCATTATTGGTGTTTTTGTTGGAGAAACCCGGGTGCAACTATAGCGCATTGCATTACCAATCCAGCACTTCTAGCGCTTAATAGGGCCACCTGATTATGACTTCCATCATTTTTTTTACAATATAATGTTGGGTGATCTTCTTTAACTATTTAATAGAAGATTTATAGGAGAATTTTGCTCTATATTTTTATGATATATATATATATATATATATATATATAAAAACAAGTATGTTTTCAGTTTCTTTGCATCCCCTCAGCTAATTTGCTTTAATGGGTTTAGGGTTTATAGTCATGTCTCAGGAGCCGTGGGGGACGTGTCTATCCCACGAAAGAAAACAAAAAATGGAAAGAGAGAAAACGAATGATGAAAATGCGGTGGCGTGGATAGAACACGCGACGTATAGAAATTCAGTCTGACGCTCTCCTAACTGAGCTATCGCTGCTTAGAAGTTCAGTATAATGTAATTATCAGATTATTTCAACGAGGAAATTTGCAGACAGTTCTCTTGCTTTATGTGCGGAGTCAACCACGAGGTCCTTATCGACTACATAGACATAAATGATTCCTTTTTTAAACTTATTAGAAAAGGAAGCCTACATCGATTATAAAGATGGGAAAAAATATGTTCGAAACTGAGCACAACAAAACGTACTAAATCTGTCTTACGAGAATCATCTTTCGGACAAAGAACGAGGAAGCATGCAACTCGAAAGGCAAGTGCTCCGACTCTTGACAACTCGTCCAATGAAAACAACCTAGATGAGCACTTCAACCCTTATGTTCCTACAAACTATAGCCCTAGCAATAAATGGTCTCATGAGAAGTCATTTTTCCATGCGACTCTTTGGTTGCCATCAGTATTTCCATCCTGCAAATATGCAAACAAAAAGCACGAAAACAAAAGAAAAGGTTAAGATGGGATAAAAAGCCTACATTTTATAGATTTCTTATATGGAAAGCCATATTTTTTCACCATGGCATTGCTGTTCATGGAAGAAGAGCTGGGTCCGGTATGGGGAGCTGCCTTGGAGAGGTCCCTCAAAGTTCCCTGCGGTTTTAGAGGTTTAAAGAAGCTGCTAGTTAATGGACAAAACCATGTAATATGCAAATTTAAGCTACTCAGAAATCATATTCCCTTGTATTTTCTAAAAATTAAATGGGTGCATGTGTAAGAGAGAAAGACGAACTTGTGGGAAAAATCAGAAAGATGCCAGCCTGACAATAATAAGAAATCAATGGATGCCATGATGGTTTCACAAAGTGTGTGCACTGTTTCCTTAATATCAACTAAAGTTATGTCCTTCCCCAATTTTACCTCAACTATACGCTTACTTGGATCTAACCTAAACATTCAAGTGGATGTATACCAAAAGCAGTAAGAGCCATTGTTGTTATTAATGTGATATAGGTGGTGTCAATAAAGAGGATTCTCTTAATCTTTATAGATTATTTCTTTGGCATGTCGTAAATCATAATCCAAATAAAGTTGAAGCTGGGTATGTTCTCATTCTGCATTTGATGAACTCAGGCAACTGGAAATTACTTTGACTGTCATCATTTGGGAAAAATACAAAACAAAAGGATCACCCTCATACTTGTGGAACTAGCTTAAGGAATAAATCTCCATAGAATATAATAATAATAATAATAATACTATATTTTCTGTTTTTATACCAGCAAACTTATATTTCAAAAGCAAAGATCATTTACCAATATTCTTTCCATCATAAACAATGTACAAAGAAAGACCTGATATTCACCTTATTTGCCCACATAAGTCCGCATGCATTACAAAGCGTCCTTGGCCCTTCAGGTCCACGCCGCATCATTGGTGTAGACTTCTCACTGATCCCACAATGCCGACAACTAACAAATTTAGGGAAACATTGAAATCAATATATTAGTTTATTGAACAGAATAAAATTATCATGTACATGCAGACAGATAGCAATGTTATGTGAGAACATGATGCACATGGAGAAGAGCATTATTGCAGCATGTAAAATGCAGGTGGTTATCACTCAATGTTTCCTCTGCCAGATTTATTTGTTAAAAACATCCTTGAATATGTACATTTCTTTCTAGAGTGATTATCCTCTATTCTCTATGCCTTTCTCTTATTAGTCTCTAGTTTCATGTGTTTCATTCTATTCATGTGTGTCACTCTTCATCAGAAAGTTACCATTCCATTTCTCAAAACTAGAGATCTCTTTTGAGGGTTACTTCTTCTAAAGTTACCCTCAGCTACAGGGTGCACAGAACACTAATATACAGCAATGTTAAGAAGATATTGAATTCGTGATATTTTTCCATGAAAATCACAAATAACAAGGATAAAACACTCACACGGCCTCTTGATGTTGGGATCCATTGCTATCAGAGCCCCCGCTCTCATTTGAACCCCAGCTAGTAGCTGCTGATGCAGAGTCATCATGATTGGGCTTTGAAGAGGTGAACTGCCCTTTATTCCGTTGCATTCTACAATACCAACAGCATAAGTTAGCAAGAGAAAACACCAAGGCTCTGATGTTTCTAATAAAGCATCAAAATCCCATTGCTCACACAAGTTATCATATAAATGAGAAACAATCAGACAGAGAATAAAACAAGGATGAGAAACAATAGTCATAAAGCAGGAAATTTCATACCTAAGTGCTACCTCTTTACGGACAGTATATCGAATTTTCTTGTCAAAGTTCCGTTCTTTTCGCTTTTCCCGAAATCTAATCAAAGACGCTAATCTTTGAGGAACACTAAACCTTTGGGGAGTACCAGACAGCCCCTAATGTGTAATTCAGCACTAATCCGTTAACAAAACATCAGAAGCTAGTAAACACATGATTAACCCACTAGATAAATCAAGCACCATACCCTATTATTACTATTATGATGTGTTGTAATTGGAACAGTAGGTGTGCTTGCAGCAGGCACTTCCCGGCCTCCCAACAGCAAGAGCACAGCTTGAACCTGCACAACATTATTTAAAGAAAAGAAAACAATTACAAACATTCTCCTAATAATAAGAATAAAATAGAATTAATAGAGAATGTATTATTTATTGTTTCCAAGCTTCAAACTATAGTTCATTTGAAGCAAAATTAACACAAAAGGGAGTAAAAACAAGCACAAAAAAGATTCGAACTTTACTTCTTTAAAAATAAACAAACAAAACATCAATGAAAACCCATTGATCAGTCTCAATAACTAATGCTCTGAGCATGGAAAGGAAGCAAACTTAACGCAAATTGAAGAACTCACCTTTCCAGGTGAAACAGAATCGAAAACATAAACTTGACCCTGAAATGTAAGAGTTAGTTGATCTCCATTTTCTTTTCCAAGATTATCAGCCGCCACCATCATGGTCCCACCGTGATCATCATCACCACCACCACCGTTCACCACGCCATTATGATCATGATCATTATCTCCATTGTTCATGATCATCCCATTAGCATTATTCATCATTTGAATCCCATTTTGATGATTTTGATGATGATCATAATGCATCTGCATCGATGGGTTTGGAGCTTCTGTGCTAGTTTGCATCCTTACAGAATTGTTGCTTCCACTGATGCCATCCATCATAATTCTCCTCGCTCAGTAATTCTGTACATAAAAGTCTGATATTTTTAGTGAATTATTTGTATATTATCATAAAAAATAATGGGTTCTTATCGGATTTCAATTCAAATCCAGAGTTTCGAGGGTTTGAAATGGGTTTTGATTGGAGATCGGATTGAGATTTGTGGCCGTAGGATGATGATCGGGGTTTTTGAAAATCAACGATCGTGAGAGAGAGAGAGACTAACAATGATTTATTTATGAATAGTTACTTTTAATTTTGAATTTATATAATTCAAAAGGTTATTTTTTGAAAACATCTTATAATATATAAGGAGACTGTTACTAAAAAATTATTTCTAAAAAAAACGAAAATTAAAAACACTATAATTTAAAATAAATAAATTAAGAGTTGAAAATCGCAATTTTGAGTAAAGATAATGCCGACTTACTTAAGAATAACTTCGAAAATATAAATCAATTTTACTGGCCATCCTGCGCGATTGATACTATTAATTATCCTTTTTCTTTTTCTTTTTATAAACATTTCAGATCGAATTCTGCAAAATAAGTTATTACCCATTCTCAAGTTTTTTTTTTCCTTAGCAGGGAATATTAACCTTAATAAGCTGCCGACAAGTCGAATCCAAAATTTTATGTTTTGATCGATGGATTTAATCGCAATCTAGTTTAATTTAAAAAAAATAATAATCAAAACAACAGTTATTTAAAAAATTTAAATCAACTATCACGTCCACTAAACAGATGATGCCCTCGCAAGAGAATTTGGATGACCTTGCTCACACATGTGATCAATACATGGCATTGAGGGGATTCGCCAATGCAAGATTTTCAGTTACTTTAATACCGAAATCTGTATTCCGTTATTGCCTTGCAATTGAGAAAAACATGTTGTAAAATCAGCTTTTGCCATCATGGCTGGCTATCTCTGCAATTCACAGATGGTTCATAATAATTCTGAAAGCAGCTCATCCAAAAAAGGAGCAGATTTAAATTGGAATACGCTAAAATAAATGGTAGGATAAATGGTCACGAAAACTTGAAAAAATCAAGGTAAACAAATCATCCATCCATTGTTTCGAGTTGTAACATGCAAGGTAATGTAAAGAAGCATGAAAATAAATGGAGGGCTGCATCTAAAACAGTGACGTCCCCTTGCCCTTCTTATCTCCGCCAATCTCAAAGTGCTTGCACCTCTGCAGAAAACAATAGCAATCAAAATAATTTTAGCTAAGAGCGTAAAGAGGGGTGCTCAGAGAATTAAACAAGTGGAGTGGTACTGAGAAAATCAACCTTGATAGGGTGCTGGGACACGTGCTTGCAACTCTGGCATTGCAACCTCAAGACAATCTTCTTGGTCGTTTTAGCCTATTAACGAACGAACCACCAATATTAAAAACAGGCAAGACCTCAAAACTCACTCTTAATGAAACCATATGGACAAAATGAAGCTCCAGATTAGTTTCAGGTAACAGTCACATGTAAATTCGGTCTTTATTTAGAATGTCAATACACATGAAAATGCACAATTGTAAATTACCTTCTTGTGGAACACAGGCTTGGTCTGACCTCCATAACCTGACTGTTTGCGATCATAACGGCGCTTTCCTTGAGCAGCTAGGCTATCCTTCCCCTTCTTGTACTGTGTGACCTTGTGCAAAGTGTGCTTTTTGCACTCCTTGTTCTTGCAATAAGTCTTCTTTGTCTTGGGAACGTTCACCTACAATCGAAAAGCTACAAATCAACAAACTAACATCCTACTTTTAGTTCTCATCTTTCCATCAGCAAAACCAAACAATCCCTGCTCTTCTCACGTAGCACAATAACATAAAATTTCTCAATCGCATAAAAAAATAAAAAATTTAAAAATAAAACAATAATCACTTCTATTAGATTAAAAATACAATAGAAATTATAAAGCAGGAAACGGGTTCACCAAAATCAATAGTTATACTCATTGGTTGACAAGTTATTTAAGGCAAGAAAACGCTATACAGCCAAACAAATAAAGACAATCACTTTATTTGGCTGGCAACCACAGTTTGATGAAATAAAGCACCGCACAAAGAAAGGTGTTTGGGAATGTGGTAAAGGTTGATTTTCAAAGTGTTTTTCAATTGGAAATGCATCAAAATAATTTTTTTAATTTGTTTTTAACATCAGCAAATCAAAACGATCCAAAAACACTAAAAAATAATAAATTGAAGCACAAAAAAAGAATCAAATTTTGACAAAAAACAGGTTCAACCTCAATTCAAAACTGGGTCAAAAGATTAAAACACCTGAGTTTCTGTACCACAGATATATTCGTGCTCATCACTTATTTTTTAATAAAATCTTAAGCCTACAGATCCATTAAGCATTGGATTCAATTAGATAATCAAATCCCCTTTACAATCTCATATTGTTCTTTCAAATCCCTTTTAACACTCCATGTTGCACCACCAATGAAGACCACGTGTCATTTAGCTAAGTTCCTTTTGAGCTATACTTAAGCTCAAAATCTCAACGCTGACATCCTTGACACTAGCATTACTTTCAGGGTAAACAAGTAAAGAAAATCACAAATTATCAAGCCAATAGTTTCAATCTTACAATTAAATGCAATACCTGTTCCCAGGACCAAGTGGCTCGGACCAAGTGATTCAAACTAATACATTAAACCAATTGTCGTATATAGGAATTTTACATTATTCTTTCATACAAAATTTTGGAAGAGATGAAAAAAATACACAAGTAAACAAAATAAGAATTATCAATTAGATCACCAAAAACCTACCTAGCAGTCCTTTTTTACCCTATTTCCTATCTGCATCTCTTCTGTATAAATCTATCAAAGCCATCTTCGGTTTCTACAAATCAATAAGATAAACATCCAATTCAATTCATACTCACTGTACTACCACTTAAATCAAACCCCATGTATCATCACCTATTCTTATTCCAAATATACCATCACTACCCTATAATCCCACCAGTCCTCGGACCAAAACTCAAAGACAAGCAAGTCCTTTTTTGGCTAAAAATCCTGTTGAGCAGCTAAACTTAACCCCATAGTCAGTGCTAAAAGCTTTGAATACTAACATTTTCAAAGTAACGAGCTAATTAATCCTCAAAACATCTAAAACCAACAACCCCGACGTAGTTCTTAGTTGCAGTAATCCTTCAGAACTATCCATTCAGAAGAATACTTCCATTTCCCATGTTTTCTCAGGGACCAAACAGATCTTACGACTAAAAACAAGAAAAAGAAATAAACTATTGACAGACAGAGAGAGACAGACGATACCATTGTTAACGACGGGGTTAGACAGCTCTGTGTCCTACCTCCTGCTGCTGCTGTTCCAAACAAAGCCTTACAAAAAGAGCTGCGATTGCGTGATGAGCTCGTTTTATAGTAAAAGCTTTTGACCTGGGGTTAGGGTTTAAGAGGTTTTGTTTGGTTGTGGACTTAAGTGAATTCGGGTCCTGTATTTGACCCAGAAGCGGTCATATAATCTGGAACGGGGATTGCGAATCCAGGTACTGGGTGATAATAAACCCACTTTTGGTCCATTTATAGGCTTGTTGGGCCTCCGACGAGCTTGCATGTATTATATAATGTATATTGTTGGGAAGTGTTTGGTATTTTATCTTTTGAAATTATAAAAAATTATTGTAGATTTATTTTAAATATAAAATTATTTTACATTTTACATTTATATCTTTAATAAAACATTCTTATGTATTTTTTTATATTTGTATTTTTTCTATAAGACACTGACATGAGCAATAATACTTTCTGGGTTTTGTTAAATTGGACTATCCACCTATTATATGATATGATCTTGGGGCAGTGTATTTATTTATTTATCCTTGAGGAACCGAGACAACGTGTCATGGAAATGACATGTATAATAAATCTAAACTAGTCTTTTTTATTTCTATATAAAAACGTGGACAGGAGTTAGCAAGGAAAGCTAGATCTTTTTTTCTTTTTTCTTTTGTTTTTCAATAACAAGAAAAAACACCATTGGTAGCCTTGTTGCATTCTATTAAGTGCTATTTTAAAAGGCATGAGTTTTTTTATTATGTAAAGTTTCATTTTTCTTTCTCTTATATGTTACAATAGATAAATTATGTAACTTTTTTATGGTTTTTTATTTGTATGCTCCGATATTGTCGGGGATTTAGTCATAATTAAAAATTAATTGATTTTAATTTCTTGTAAAAATATAGAATTGAAAAAAGAATAATTGGAATAAAAAGAGACATCAAAGATGAATATCATATCATTAATTTTATAAAAGATACACCTTGATCCTTAAACTTTAAAAATTACATAAATTATAAAAATTTAGTATCTTGAGATTTTTTCATTTCAATTTTAATATGAAATTTTATTTTTTGTTATTTTTTGGTGTCTATTTAAAAGAGAAAAGAGAGTAGTCATTAGGTCCCAACAGGAGAACAAGAAAAGTGTTACTGATATTGATTTAGGATACCAAAATGAATGGTATTTATGTCAAATGATTCCATAAAACGAGAGGGTTCATATTATGTGTTTTTCACCTTTTAAGTTTGTAAGAAAACATACTTAAGCTTAAGGTTGATTTTTTAATTCAGGTTGATTTCGGTTTTTATGAGAGTTTTTTATTTTTTTAAGGTTGTGTATGAGTTTATCACGGTTCATGCGGTATTTTATACGTGTTTTTTTATTAAAATGAGTTGAAAACGATTTTTTAGGGTAGAAAAACATAAGTTATGATTTTTTAGTCACCATAATGATTGGAAGCTTGACAAATTAGACAATACATTATCTAATTTTTTTTTAAAAAAATAAGGTAAATGATATATTGTCCATCCCAGTTATAACAAAAAAGGCCCAATCTCATTAGCCTACCAAGACAGCCTGTTTATGCCTTTACGGGCCTTGAAATTTTTTTTTTCATGGTTTTTTTTAAATTTTTAAATTTATGTTTGATTATCACTTCTTTTTTTCTTGCTTGAAAAGTCTCTTTTAAATAATAATTATTTTTCTAGTCATGCATTTAAATTTAAAGTTTTTTTATGATTTATCTATAAATTTATCTTTTTTTATGGATGAATTTTATCTTTTAAAGTAAAAAAAAAACATTATAGGATAATATTTCCAATATATACAACCTTGTCTATTTTTTTTTATTTTATTTGATCAGTTTAATTTGTGTCTCTATTTTCAACTAATATAAAAAAAATATTTTAATAAATAAATTTAGCAAATACAATTAAATAAATATCTTATCTTTCAAGATTAAATCTATATTTATCTCTCGATTTCTTAATTTTTATTTTTAAATAGTATTAGTGTTTATTTATTTACATGTATAATTGTTGATTTATTAGATTACATGTATGCATAAATATTTTTATTTAGACTCAGATTTTTAAATTACATAAATACAGGAAAAAAAACATTATATATACATTTTGTTGTGCAGGGGACCCACTCATCAACTCATTAACAATAAACTAAAAATGCTCAGTGTTTCACTATGCAAGTCCACAATGAAATGCCGAGTAGTCTTCTTCCTTTTTCTTTTTCTTTTTTTCTTTTTTTTCCATTTTGTTTTCTATTTTTATTTTTTCCATTTTGTTTTCTGTTTTTATTTTTTTTCATTTTCTATGCCTTTATGGGTTTTTTTTTTTTGCTTTTTTCTTTGTGTATTTTTCTTTTAATGAATTTTTTTTGTTCAATTTAGTTTGATAATGTTATTTTTTTATTTAGTTATCAAATTTTCATAACATGAATCCCGAGTTTAATGAGTTAACCTTGTTTGACGAGTTAACCTGAATTTTTTTTCTTTTTAATTAATAACGTATATTAAAATTGTTTAGTGTTTCACTGTGCAGTCCACTGTGAAACACTAAGCTGTTTTTTTTATAAATTTTTTTCTATGTTTTTTTTGGCTTTCTATGCCTTTATGGGGTTTTTGTTTTAGTTTTTTTCTTTGTTTTTTTTTTCGTTTAATGATTTTTTTATTTTAGTTTGTTAATGTTAATTTTTTTAATTATCAGAATTTTATGACACGGATTCCGGGTTTGACGAGTTAACCTGGATTTTTTTGTTTTGCTTTTTTTAAAGTTTGACGAGTGAATCTGGAATTTGTTTTTTGCTTTTTTTCTTTTTAATTAATTTTTTTTGTTTAGTTTAGTTTTTTAATATTAAAATTTTTTCTATTTAATTATCAAACTTTCATGACATATATCCCGGGCTTGAATGGTTAACCTGTCAATTTTTTTTTCTATTTAGTTATCAAACTTTCATAACACGAATTTCAGGTTTGACAGGTTAATCTGGTTTGAAGGGTCAACCTAGTTAATTCAGATTTTTTTCTTTTTCTTCATTAGTTTTTTTCTTCCTGTTGGTTTTTTTTTTGTTTTTTTAATTAATCTATTTAATTATCATACTTTTATAACACGACCTTGCAGCCAGACCCACATTCAAAACTCTTGGGTCTGGTGTTATAGCCGGACTCACTTAAACTTGAATTATACAAGTTTAATGTTATTATTAATATTATAAATATTACTCTTAGATCAAGCGTTTCAACTAAAAGCTTTTAGGCATATCTTTATAAAAATACCAATACTCTTGGGATTTAATTTTTCAGGCAGAGAAAGTTATCGCAGAGCCTAATAAAACTTTTCTTGATGATGGTTTGCTTCCAATCTATATTAGTCCTGATAGAGGAATTGGATCATACGCGACCGTAACTTTTGGGGCAATGGGTGACAGGTATTGGTCTTTGCAGGCTTTGATATTAATTCCATATGTTGATGATTGGGCTTCAGATTTTGTCATCCAAGTGACACTGCCAAAATAATTGATTGCAACTGTTAACTGAAAATCTGTTTGCAGTTTTTATGAATATTTGCTCAAAGTTTGGACTCAAGGGAACAGAACTTCAGCTGTGAGAAATTATAGGTAAGATATTTTGTTGTCATGTATCTCTCTGTCATAAAGAGCACCTTGTTTTACTGGTTTGAAAATGAAGAAACAACATTCTTCCTGAATTTAGATTCCTTAGGAACCTGAACTCCTGAATAGTTGTAGAAAAAGAAATGTTGCGTTGCAGATTTCAGGAACAGGGAAAAGTTCCACTTCTTCTGTCACATCAAATTCAGTTAGACTTGTGATTTTTTGGGTTTGATATTTCCATCCTTTTTGCCTCTGTAAAATGGGATACATGTTTTTTCAAAGCACAGTGAGGTCCAAAATGAACTCTTCAAAGGGAACAAATAGTATGTGTCAAGTCCATAAGTTCACAATTCTTTTTTTTAATGTGCATGGACTCTCTCTCTCTCTCTCCCTCCCCAATATTTTATGAAATGAATTACGTATTCAGCATTGTTTATTGAATTTCTTCCTGATGGAAAAATTGCAGTGGAATATTGGAAGCAGAGAAATGTGGGAGAAATCAATGAAAGGTCTCTTAAGCTTGGTTCGGAAGACAACACCATCGTCTTGCACATACATTTGTGAGAAGCATGGAGGCTCACTGACAGACAAGGTACTATTTGGTTTTCATAGTCATAGATGATAATATGTCACACCACCTTAATCTTCATTTAGGCATGAAAAGAATTAATTGTTTAAATTTGGTTGCCTGCTTTCTCTCTTTTAATATGCAGATGGATGAATTAGCATGCTTTGCTCCAGGAATGTTGGCTTTAGGATCATCTGTTTATGGGCCTGCTGACTCTCAGAAAATCTTATCACTTGCTGAAGAGGTATTTGTATCATCTTTGAAAGCAGCACTTAAAAATGTTGCATGTTGTAGTTAGTGATCCTTTATGCCAAGGTATATTCACAAGACAGTTTCCGACATAATTTTTCAACACTTTTTTTTTCTATTTTTGTTAGATTAGCAAGTTCTGTTGCATTTATATGTCACCTGCCTATTTTCTTTCTGGGTCAAATGTTGATTTTGTCAGTTAATGTGGTCATATGCATGCCCCTGATAAGGCTTTTTGTTCATCTAATTCGGTAGTCCCTGGACTACACTTTGGTCATTCATTAGGATTCCAAAATCTAATTCAGTACTCCTAAGGTCACTTTTTTACAAGCTACTAATATTTAGCTATTTATGCATTCCTTTTGCCTTATGCAGCTTGCTTGGACATGTTACAACTTCTACCAATCAACGCCCACAAAATTGGCTGGGGAGAATTATTTTTTTCATCCTGGGGAGGCTAGTCATCCTAGCTGTCCTCCAAGTATGCAACCAATTATTTCCATCTGATGGTTTTTGCACACATGACATTTTCAGGACATGAGTGTGGGTACATCTTGGAACATATTGAGACCAGAAACTGTTGAATCACTCTTTTACCTGTGGCGTTTTACAGGCAACAGGACTTATCGAGAGTGGGGTTGGGATATATTTCAAGCATTTGAAATGAACTCACGCATCAAAACAGGCTATGTTGTACTAAAGGATGTAAGAAGCATTCTGACCCACTAAACCACATTGTATCTTTTGTTTGCATTTTTTGTGTACACTTGCTCTGGGATAATCTTTTAAAGAAAACCATATTTTCTGTCAGAACAGAATCCTTTTCAAATATTTGGCCTTGAGAAATCATATAGGACTTGCCATTAACTAAGTTGATCTATTCTCTTTGAGTTGAAGACAATTATTTTGCTAGTAATTGGGAGGCTTTTTCAATTTCAAATGCTAATTTGAAGAGAAGAGTCCTTGCTTCTTCTGCAAGTACCTGAATATCCTTGTGGTCCCTTTGTCTGAAACAGCTGCTCTCGAGTTTTGAACTTGGATTCTAATGTTGCAGTCTATGATATTTCACCAATGCACCTCCAATGGCCCCTATAAGATTACAGTCTGTCTTTTCAGTACAGTATTTATTTATTCTTATATTTTGGAGAGGAAAAAACACAGCATAAAAACTGATATTCTTTCTGTTTCCTCCCATGCGGCTACTGATGATATATGCTCACTGCTTGTATTCTCAGGTAAATACTGGTGTCAAAGATGATAAGATGCAGAGCTTCTTTTTGGCTGAGACTCTCAAGTATTTGTATCTTCTTTTCTCTCCATCTTCAGTCATCTCACTAGATGAGTGGGTTTTCAACACAGAAGCCCACCCTCTAAGAATTGTCACACGACATGATGAAGTACATGTTGGACAATCTAAAAATATACAAACAGGTCGGACACGTGGCAGGAAAGAAAGTCTTTTTGGTGATCGTTAAGATTGATTTGCTATGTTGATGAATCCACACAATGATTTGAGGCTTACATCAGAAGACAATCCAGAGAGTTCATAGTTGTCTAATTAGATTGCAGTGCCCCTGGAGTGCTGTTCAAATTAGGAAATAGAGTGGCTCCACATTCTCTCCATTCCAGGTTGGTTGAAATTGTTGTACTTTATGGCAAGGATGAACACAATGATGGATGTGTAACATAGAAAATAGTTTATTGCCTACAGTTATATTTAGGAAAAGCTCTTTTTTCAACCCTAATTAGCTCAACGTTCTCTTTGAGTGTATGAGAATTTTGTTAATACAATGCTAGACCTAAGTTTTATTTTTCTTAAATTTTCTGTGTTGCTGGTGGAGATTGCTGATTCAAGCTCATAATTCTGCTTATGAAGAAACAATTTGTAGGTCCAGTTAAGTAACCTGATGCTAAGCAAGGTCTAATCGAATGCATTTTACATTTTTTTTGAATCTGAAATAAGTCAAGAAATTTGTTGTCGAGTGAAAAATTGGAAAATTGTTGCATGCAGAGAGCCAATGAAGCAATGCTTGATCACGCATTAGGCTAAACAGAATTAGCAAATACTAAGCCAATTTTGTTCTTCAAGAAGCGAAGGAAGTTTAAATAATTCTGAACCAATCGGATTGCACTTAAAATTTTATGAAATCTTTTGTCCTCCATTCCATCTCCTCCAGCATGTTCAACCGCTTCTCAATCCATCCAATATGTTGTGACCTATGATCCAACATTAGCACTAATGTTAACATAGCTGGATGCAGAAATCGTATAGGAAAGAAAGGTTTCCAACATATTTTTTTCAATAGCGTGAGCAAGATGGAGGTCAACAAAATGTGGACTATCTCATGCACATTTGAAGTGAGCCAAAGTCTTGGCAGGGAGGAAGCAGAGAATGTTGATGATGATATCTAATGGGAGGCTTAACATTCCTCTTATTAATGGAAAAAAGAAATGAAAAACCAAATATTGAATATAGGGTAGATAGGAAGCTATAAGAAGGATGATTTTGATGCCTCTGTTATGTCTCTCTATGTATTGGCTCTGTTTTGAGGCAGAGTATTGTGAAACAGAGGATTTTGTAAATAAAGCCCAGTATTTTTTCTTTACTTGACTGATATATACAGGGGAAATCTCTAGGTCTGGAAATATAATGCAACAATAAGTATAATTCTAGGAAAATTAGATAAGGTCTACCCTGTGGATGGATTTCACTAACAAGGAGTGGAGTTTTTTCTGCTTTTAAGATGTAAGGGGACATGTACTTGTATTACAAGGGGAAACTGCTTGCCTAAACATTTTCTATTTCCTAAGTTTCTGTAGGCAAAGCCAAATTCTCGGAAAGGAAGTGGCAGAAAGAACAGAAAGCAAAAGCCAAGACAAGAAGGCAGATACTAACAGGAAGAACACACTGGAGGTTGTGTTTCAAGCTGAATAATCCTGTTGTTTGGCTATATCCAATTCTCATACACATGGTTCGGTTGATGCTCCTTCATCTCTTGAACCCAAGACTCATTCGCTTTATATTCTTTCATAACACTTAACATTATAATAGCCTCCTCCTTGCTTGCCAAAAGAATCCACACATAAACATCCATCCAATATCAACAGGTTCCTCCTACCATCAATCCCATGTGCTGATGAAATCAGAAGAGGCAGCTCATAAGATTCCTCGATCTGAAGATCGAAAACAAGGAGATGGCCCTTGCCTTTTTTTATTTTAGACACTGTATAGCACCATTAAAAAGGACTCAACTGCTTTTCCTAATATCTATATCAATAGTACTATGAATTGTTTCCAAGGTATAAATAACAAAATCCGAACATTCTTTAGAGTTGTTTCTTCTTATCATCACTACCTCTTAGTCATTGCTAGAATCATCGAACTGGAGTGTCCTTAGATCACTACGAGATAGTTTCATCGTAGAGAAAGGAGCACCGTAGCACTTACGGGTTGATGGTTTCCAAAAAAACCGAACTCTTTCGTATCTTTTTTATGCAAGGCAAACAGACCATTGCAAGAACCACATTTACAAGCATATTTCGATGGACGAGCATCTAGTTTTTGTGCTTGAGCATCATCATTATGATGAAGAGAGGCAAAATCTAAGTAACCCACCCCTGTGAATGAGGATTGGATCTTGATTATATAGGGTAAGAGATTGTTCGTTGCAATAGAGTAAGCAAGGTGGAGGTTGATAAAACATGGGCTGTCAATAAGGGAATGCCATGACTTTGACACCCTTTCGAGCCGAACCAAAGAGCTGACAGGAAGGTAGCAGAGGATGTTGGTGACAATATTTAACTGGGGGAAGCTTGACATTATAACAAGTAATGAACAATAAAGAATCAAGAATTTAAGGAAGAGAGCAAATCCGATTTACAGACTGTTTGGAAATGTGCTTCAAAATGTTCCTTTAAATTTTAAATATATAATTTTTATATATTTTTAAATAAAAACACTTTGAAGTGCAACTTCTGTAACAATCTTAAATAAACTCTTATATATATATATATAATAAGTTTAAAAAAAAAATGGTAATTGGAAATTTTATAGGCTTAAGCCCATCAATCAAGTTCCCATGCTGCCCTAAAGGCCCACAAGTCTCTGGGTTTTAATCTCCCACTCAGTCCTAACTTCCCTCTCTGTAGGAGCAAAGAGAGAGGGAGTGTGTTTGTCTGCTCAGAAGAGAGCATATACTTTTCGGCAAAGGAAGAATCTTTAATTTCTCACTCTCTTCCTTTAATAAAAAAACCCATTTCAATTTTCTCTCCAAAACCCCTTAATTTGAATAAATTGTGTCCTTTTTGTCCATGAAAATCAGAACTTTTGTTAGAAAGAAGAACCCATTTAGCTTGTTTTAATGCAAACATCATATCGTTTCTTGTCTCGACTTTCTCGCTCACAAAAACGCAATCCCTCTATTTTATGCAACAGGCACTTGTTGTTTTTATTGGCCCATGATAGTAATGGCTATACCACAGTTTTAGAGCCCGATTTCACCGCTCAAAATCAAAGCTTTGCCTATAGTTCTTATACCCAGTCTTGTGGGTTTTTTGCCTCTAAGAGCTCAAAAAGGTTTGCTTTTTTGGAGTTGGTTTCTTTGTATAGTAACCAGAATGATCAGAATTCAAGTTATAGCTACTTAGCTCATCGTGGTAGGTTTCTTTTGCTGTTTTAAACATGAAAGAATGATCCATTCACCATACTGAAAATGTGTTTGTGTTTTTGCAGGTTTTTTCACGAGAGCTAAACCAGTAAAGAGGATAGAAATAAGTGATCAACATAGGTACTTGTTCTTTTTATGCATTGTTTGTTTCTAGGGAAAAGGGAGGCCGGGGGCTTTTTTTTTACGTTATGATAAATAGTTCATGGCATTTCATGTTGCAAAGTGATGTTAACTTTATATTCAGTATGGTGAGTGGATAATTTTGGAATTGGGAAGATTATATCAAAATAATGGTTTAGAGAAGCAGCCTTATGGATCATAATTGTCAGATTTTTGTAATCAATACATGGAAAGAGAAATGAATTCAAAGAACAATCAAATATTTTGGGAGGCAAAAGTACACCTATGAGCCACACTATGTTTATTATCTGGCAATTTCTGTTCCAAGTTTTATATCGCCAACTGTTTTCTTTGATGCTTGCCTGCAAATTGTATCCCATTCTTTTGTTTTTTTGGCAGTCAGCGAGCAGTCACGACAGCATTATGGTGCAATTTTCTTGTCTTTTCTCTCAAGTTTGGGGTTTGGTTTTCAACCAATAGTCATGTTATGTTGGCTGAAGTTGTGCATTCAATAGCAGATTTTGCAAACCAGGTACTTCTGTTTTTTGTCACCATTTCAGAGTGAAGCACTTGTTTTTTAGCTGTCTTACTTTATGTTTTAACTCAATCCACTGATTATTGAATGCAGAGATACTAATTCATGTTGACATTGTAGGCGCTTCTCGCTTATGGTCTGAGTAGCTCTAGGCGTGCACCTGATGCTCTTCATCCGTGAGTCCCTATTGCCAATCTTTGCCATCATTTGTAATGGCTTAATTGCACTCTTCTTTTTTGTTTTTAATTTTTAAGCACGCCTGACATCTGAAGACGGGCTTTTCTTGGATGCTTTCCCATGTCAAACAAAGGAATTGACCGCACTTTCTGCCAATGCATGGATTCTCTTTGTGGACCTATTCATCCCTTGATTTGGGATTTTGCATGTAGAATAGCTATTGGCTTGGTTTAACTGCTTAGGAATTACACATGCATGCACATATATCCTCGTGCTGGATGGATAGGGTTGTTGATTCTCTTTCCTGATGAAATCGATTGTTTTTATCTTGCACAGTTATGGTTACTCAAAGGAAAGATTTGTTTGGTCCCTCATATCAGCTGTTGGTATTTTTTGCCTTGGCTCTGGTGCTACAATTGTTAATGGAATCCAGAATTTATGGACTGCACATGTAAGAAACCTAGTGAATTGGTTATGGTGATTTTGTTATAAAACTTCCCAAATATGTGTTTTATTTCCTTTTCCTGGTTTTCAACAATTTTATTGGTAATTGTAATTAAGGTTTAGTGACTTGCATTCTTTCTTCAGCCGCCAGGAAACATCCAGTATGCAGCTTTGGTCATTGGTGGCTCATTTATCATTGAAGGTACAAGTTTTATATCTTTACGATTGATTGATTATCTGAGCTTTAGATACAATTAAACTTCTCCTCATCATCTTTCTATCGTTAAATAAATATGCTTTTGCTTTAGGTGCTTCTCTTATTGTTGCCATACAAGCTGTTAAGAAAGGTGCAGCTGCAGAAGGAATGACAGTTAGAGACTACATCTGGCGTGGTCATGACCCCACATCTGTTGCAGTCATGACAGAGGTAATTTCAATGAGGACCCTTACCCCTTGTTGAAGCTTGTAATATTAGACAATAACCTTTTAAGATCCATGTAAGAAACAAGGTTGAACCACAGATATGGGGAAGCTGATAAGCACATTATGCATCTGTTGAGTGGAAGATAAACTGCAATAAGCTGAAATGATGGCTAAAACTCGAAGAAAATTGAAGTTGAAAGAAGAAGTAAGCTTTTAGGGTTTGTAGAAAAACCTGTCAGGTCTGAATTGATTAGTAGAAATAAAACAGTCTCATGACTACTGGTTGTCACATGAATACTAGAAATCCAAATAACATAAAGATTCTTAAATTAAAAGAAATTATATAATTATTCCAATACACTTCACCTGATATCACTTCTATTTCTGCAAACCAGAGATAAGAAGATTTTGTTCTCAGAATCCCTTTATCATTCTGCTTAGAGCTTGGTGCAGT